CCCTGACCACCGCATCGCCTGCTGTGATGTCGGCATCTTTGTCGTCAGACTGGCGTCCTTCCGCCCCCTTAGCTCGTGCGCGCGAGGGAGGCCTGGACGAAGAGCGTTGCTTCGGGATGAAGTTTGGATCGGGAACACCTCTCTTGTCACGCCCGCAGCGATAGCAGTTTGTATTGCTGCGATGATTACCCGAGAAACCACATTGTCGCACAGCAGCGCAAGACCATTTGAGCTCCTTTTGGATGATCGATCTCTTCTGCGAGGTGGCGGTGCCATCGCCTCCCATCACAATCCAGAGGTCCGTGATGCTGATTCAGAAAGTCCTTCGCCTGTCGAATCCTCAGAAACCTGCGGGCCGTCGAGCGCTGTCGGCGCAGTGAGCGGTGCCACGCAGGATAACGTGATCGGAGCGAAGGTAACAGTGAGCGGCCACGCGCCTCGGGGGAGACGAGCACGGACCTGGGGGCAGGTACAATATCGGGACTGTGCATGTGCCACGTGTGCCTGCCAGCCTGGAGGAGGAGGAGGAGGAGGAGGAGGAGGAGGAAGAGGAGGAGGAGGAGGAGGGAGGAGGGAGGAGGGAGGAGGAAGAGGAGGGAGGAGGAACATGGAGGAGGATATGGAGGAGGGGGGAGGAGGATGAGGATGAGGATGGGGATGGGGATGGGGATGGGGATGGGCATGAGGATGAGGATGAGGATGAGGATGATGATGATGCTGATGATGATGATGCTGATGATGATGATGCTGATGATGATGACGATGATGATGATGATGTGATGATGATGATGATGATGATGATGAGGAGGAGGAGGAGAGGAGGAGGAGGAGGAGGAGGAGGTGGAGGAGGAGGAGGAGGAGGAGGACGGGGAGGAGGAGGAGGAGGAGGAGGAGGAAAAGAGGAGGAGGAGGAGGAGGAGGAGGAGGAGGAGGAGGAGGGAGGAGGAGGAGGAGGAGGAAGAGGAGGAGGAGGAGGCGGAGGAGGAGGAAAAGGAGGAGGAGGAAGAGGAGGAAGAAGAAGAATAATACTAATACTCATAATAATATTAAGAAGACGAATAAGAAGAAGTCGAACAAGACGAAAACTATTAATAATACTACTAAGACTAAGACGACGAATACTGATAAGAAAACGAATGACAATACTAATTATAGTAATACTAATACGAAGAGTAATACTAGTCTTAAGAATAATAACAATACTACTACTCAGAATAGTCATAGGAATAATAATATTAGTATGAGTAAGAAGAGCACTACTAATAATAATAATAAGAATCAGAATGCACATAATAATAAGAAGACGAAGAAGAATAATCCGAACAATAATAATACGAATAATAATACGGATACTACGAATAACAAGACGAGTAATAATACTAATGCAAGAAAACGAATAGTAGTAATGATCTGAAACAGAACACTAATAAGACGCATCGGACTAATAATAATAATACGAATGAAAAGACCAACAACAATAATAATATTATTAATAATAATTCGAATAATAATGCTACGACTACTAAGAAGAAACATGATAACATGAATAATAGTAATACTATTAATAGCAGTACTACGACTAGTCATTATTATATTTATCATAGTAATACTCATACTACTAATAATATTTATTATAATAATAACAATCATAGTAGTATTATTAATAATAATAAGAATAATAATACGAATCATACTACTACTACTACTACCTACTACTACTACTACTACTACTATTACGAATAATACTATTAACACTAGCACTAGTAGTAATACATTAATAATACGAATATTTATATTAATCACAAGAATAATAAGATTAAGAATGCTACTAATAAGAATACTACTAATAAGAATAAGAGGAATAATAATAAGAGGAGGAGGATGAGGACTCTGCTCTGCTGGACTTAGCTGAACGCCGCTCGCGCGGCCACCGATCTTTCTGCGGCCCCTGGGGTCGCAGGAGGAAGACGGGCCTCCGCAACTCAAGGGCCCCCGCCGCAGGAGGAGCACGAGCCGCCGCGACGGCACAATCACGGCGCAGGAGGAACACGAACCTCCGCGCGAAAAGGTCCTGGCGGCGGAGGAACACGAGCCTCCGCCCGCCAGGCAGGGCGCAGGAGGAACACGGGCCTCCGCACCGAATCAGGAGTGCCGCAGGAGGAACACGAGCCTCCGCGACACTCACCACAAGCCCACCTTCTGGGGCGGGCGGCCGAGCTTCACCATGAACGCCGTGCGCACGTCCTCCTCCAGGCCCGAGGCAGCGTCGACAGCATCATCACCGGCCGCGTCGAACCAAGCCTCCGCCTGCGCCAAGGCGTTCTTAGCCTGCTGGGCGCCGAAGGCCGCCTGCTGCATGACCTCGTACTTCCTGGCGGCCGTCACGCGGCGGGCCCGGCCTTGTCGGGCCAGGAGCGGATCGGGGTCAGCAGCCTTCCTGCCGCCCTGGACCTCGAGGGACGCCTCCTTCGGCAGCTCCGAGTCCACGTACCCGTCGAGCTGCTCCTGGGCCGTCTCCGTGGAGTCCTTCACGACGAGCTTCTCAGAGTCACACTTGGTCTCCCCCATGCACAGCCGAGTGTTCTCCAGGGCCAGCTGGT